TCCATCTGGTCCCCTAAAAAATATTTATAACATTATTGATTATATTCCCCAGACTATCTTTTCTATCCCTGAGGCCATATTGTAGTTACCAATTTGTACTGTCTCATCCCTTCCCCTTCTCCTTCACCCCCACCCCCTCCCAACTAGCAACCCTCAGTTTTTCCTCTGTGTCTCTGAGACTATTTCTGCTTACATTTCTCATTTATTCAGTTTTTTAGCATTATGCTAAGTGAAATAAGTCAGTCAGAGAAAGACAAATACCATATGATCTCACTTATACGTGGAATCTAAAAAAGCTGAAAAAAAACAAAACAAAACAGAGCTCACACTATTGAGAGCTCTTAGCCAACTGAGCCACTTGGCCGGCCCAAGAGTTCCTTCAAAGATAAGGAGAGTATAAAGGTTTCAGCTGTAGTATTATAACAGGTTATTTATGATTCAGATTTTTTTCCTTTGCATGCATTTTAACTACTAGATAAAATAAAAAGATAGATATGCAAAGGCTTACCATAGCATAAGAAAATGAGATAACCAGAGTTCAGAAGGAATTTCCATGTTGGAGGAGGGAGTTTGTCTGAAAAATTTATCCATTTTTAATAGAGATCACTGGAGCTTTCCAATATTTTAAATCTTAAGGTACAGAATGTGTTGTTCCAAATAGAGAAATGATGGCACTGGCACTGAGCTACAATTATGTTTTGGGTCTGCTGGGAATAGTAAGTCACACTCAGGTAGGTAGGTTGATTGACTAATTCATTCATCCAATTATTCAATAGATATTTATTGAGCACCTTTTATATAAAAAGGTCCACGCTAGGCATTAAAGAGATATAAAAATAAATCTGCGGGCCAGCTGAGTTGAGCGTTGGTTAGGTGTTGGCTTGGGATGCCAGCTCTGAGCAGCACAGCCCCGGTTTGGATCCCACATGAGGGCTAGTGATACTGCACCCTCTACAGCTAAGATGCTGAACAACAGCTCAACCTGGAGCTGGGCTGCCGTGAGTCGCTGGTGATGGTGTAGGCTGCAATGGAGCTGCAATGGGCTCCTGTAAGCTACCGTGAGCAGCCGGCAGCCGGCGAGAGCTGCCAAGAGCCACCGTGAGTGGCCATCCAATGGCCGGCGAGCGACTGCCTCACTCAGGAAGAGCGCAATGATAATACCAACATGGGCCAGTGAAGCGACGTCCTCCACAACTAGACTGAAGAAAAGGACAGCAACTTGTCTGTTCCCCTTCCCTGATTCCCCAATTAAAAAAAAAAATCCGCCACAGACATTGCATTCATTCAAGTTTATAATCCAGTACACAGGAAAGTGTTTGATTATATAGGGATAAAGTAGAAACATTTATGACAAGGATTTTTTAAAAATCATTTTAACTACTCATAAAGCTCCTTTAGCAGCCTTAGGTGAACTTGAATACCTCCCATATCATGGTGAAAAGCAACAGAGATGGGAATTCAACTCACCATCATCTTCAGTAAGTATTTGAAAGTACAATTTGCTTTATGAAAAACAGATTTACATATTTTGTGAAAAATATCCCTCTATACTTTAATAGAAAATAAAAGCTTCTGATTTATCCTAACAAAAACTTCACTGACTGTCTTAATACTAAAGGAAGTTTCTCTTAAGTATTGAAATTTAGTTCCACGATTTTGTACTCTTTTTTGGCAATTCTAGACTACTATGATTGACATTCTGCTGGCATCAAAACTAACCTATGATCGTCTGTATCCTTGTCTTATTGCTGCCGCTGTGTAAGCACCAACTCGAAGGGTCTAGAGTTATTTTTTTTTTTAACTATCATTATAGCAAAAGTACCCAGGAGTCAGAAACTCTCATACTCATGATGGGACAGACAATTTGGACATTAGAGAGGACAATGATTGCAAAGGATTGAAACACATCAAATATATAAAATCTGTCAGTTTATAATGATGCCCTACACCTATAAAAGTCCCTTCAATGTTCACTCTTGGAAGTTGCTAAGACACCAACTCACTCTGAGTATTGACAAGTAAAGGAAATCATCATATATTTATCTTACTGTGTTTTACAGTAGCCAGCATCCATGAGGGTAAATTCTTCTTCATAGAATACCAATAATAAATGCAGAAGAAATAATAGAATTAGAAAATCGCCATGTTTTAACCTTAATGAAATACTGGATATAGGCAATAATCATCTATGGATGCTAAAATCATCAAGTAAAAAGTTGACAGGGAAATTCACAAGCGAGGGGATCAAACAAATACCTCCTAAACCTACGACTGTATTTTACTACTATCAAAAGTGGGACAACCAGATATTAGATGCCTCAGGATGTTGATGCAATAAGTACACAGCACTATATATGAAGTATTCTTGTCTAAAAACTGAACCTGAAAATGACCACGCTTCTAGATATAAATACCAGTTTCTAGGAAATACAGGTGAAAGAACAAGTTCAATTACACACACAGGAAGCAATCAGCCAAAATGATACCTGTACCACAACAGTATTCAAAGTGTGGTTCTTGGACCAGCAGCTTCAGTATCAACTGGGAAAATGTTAGAAATGCAAATCTTAGGCCCTATCCCAAACTTATGGCATCAGAAACTCTGGGGGTGGGCCCAGCAAACTGTGTCTCAAGACCAGGAGATTTTGATGCATGCTCAAGTTTGAGAACTATGGCTCTAAAAAAACTGATGGAAAAAAAAAAAAAGGTACGGGAAGGAGGATTGTTATGGAATAAAAGACTGAAGAGACTTAAAAACAAAACAAAACCAACTGCTATGGTGGTTACACTACTGATATCCTGAAAACTTATTTTAACCCAGTTTAAAAATAATCATAAAAATCACTAGTATTTAGGCAAAAGGAAACATTGTTTACACAAACTTTTAATTCATAAGGAATTAGTAATTCGATCTTACAGAAATTGGGAAAAGGCATGAATAATGCATTGTTTTGCCTCATATTCTGTAACTTTCTTTTGTTTTGGTTAGAAGAAAAAAAGCCATCATGAAGAATTAACAAATACATTAGAAAGTGTTACTTACATTATGTTTATGACAGAAATTAAGAGCTTGAAGTGTTTGCCATAATATACTTTTGATCACTCCATCAGCAACTCTAGGGAAAAAAATGAAAAAGGAAATAAAAACTCCTAGAATGGAGTTACGGAGCAGAGCTGGGAACAGAAATGGAGTGGATGGGGGCCGGCCGAGTGGCGCGATGGTTAAGAACTGGCTTGGACGCCAGAGGGCCCCGGTTCGGATCCCACATATGAGGGCCAGTGACACTGCCCTCTATAGCTAAGATGCTGAACAACAGCTTGACCTGGAGCTGGGCTGCTGTGAGTTGTCGGCGACAGCATAGGCTGCAGCCCCTGCTGCAGTGGGTTGCCATGGGCTACCGTGTGTAGTCAGCAGTCAGCGTGAGGGGCCAGCAGCCGCAGTGAGTGGCTGTCCAGAAGCCGGGGACTGATCTGCCTCGCCTGGGAAGAGCGCAATGATGGTGCCAACTTGGGCCAGTGAAGCAACGTCCTCCACAACTAGACTGAAGAACATAAAAAGGACAGCAACTTGTCTGTTCCCTATCCCCCAATTCCCCAGCACTGTTCCCAGCCCCCCAATTCCCCAATAAAAATCTTAAAAAAAAAAGAAAGAAATGGAGTGGATGAGGCTAGTCATGGCCAATGGGCACAGTGCAATGGGTGTCTTGGAAATTAAAAAAAAAGTTTTAATGAAAATTGCTTTACTATTTTTTCATTATATAATTTCCTTTTGAAATCTGAAATTTTTACATCTGTAAAAATGATACATGCTTATTGTGAAAATTCAAATATAGAAAAGTAAAGGAATTAAAAAGTGTTGACTCAAATCTTGCTACCCCCAAATAATTGCTATAACCTACGGTGGCTGTCCATTAAGCATCTCTGTTTTTCTCCCCTCTCTGTGTGTCTCTGCATTTACTTTTCTACTTTAATTTTAAATAACATTCATATGGTTCAAAATTTAAAACGTATAAAAGTACGTCCATGAAGAATTCTCTCATACCTGCTTAGCCACCCAGCTCATCATCTGCAACTTCCCCCGCCTCTTTCAGAAACATTTTATGCATAGAAGTACAAATACTAATATGTATACAGGTATTTTAATGGTTGAAAAGGATCTCAGTATATGGATGTACATCATAATTTACTTAGTCCCCACTGATGAGCATTTAGGTTGACCCAATTTATTTATTTATTTTTAATTATTTATTTATTTTTTAAAATTATTTTTAAATTAGTTTCAGGTGTACAACAGTGTAATGGTTATACTTTTTACCCCTCAAAGTGACAACCCTCCTCCCAAAATCTGCCGCCCCACTCCCCCCCATATCATACATATCTATTACAATTCCATTGACTCCACTCCCACACTATATAGGTTGACTGAATTTTTATTTCAAGAAACAACGCTTCAATGAATATATGGAATTATCCACATTAGCAGTTGTGCAATTATCTTTCTAAGGTAAGTTGTACAAGTGGGACTTCTGGGACCAATAGTAGGTACATATTACATTTTGATCCTGTAGGGATAAACTTCAGGTAGACCCGAGACCTGGTTTTGCAGGAAAAAAAGGCATGCTTGAAGACAGGCCTTCAATTTACCCAGTTCATGTTGGTTGGTAAATACTCAAGCAAGTGCTGGAGTTGTTTTGTAACACTGACTTACACCTGGTAAGCAGGCAGGTACACAGCCAGGGGAGGCCAGGGAGGATAAAGGGCCCATGAGAATGGGAGCCTGGGAGCTTCAGTCCCTGCAGAATCCTTACTCTGCATGGAAAATATTGGTAAGCACCACAGACAGGTGCATTTCCCATTGGGGAACTGGGAATCTGGGCAACTTGTATTTTGGCTAGGAGTAGTTACTTTGTGTAACTATCTCTATAAATTATAGCAATTACATGACCTTTAACTTTTCTCTTGGAGTCTTTCTAATGCTCACATCACTGTCTCATGAAGACGCCTTCACAGTTACATACCGCCAAAGCACCCTATCTAAGGAAGGTTATATCCATTTACACCCCCACCAAACATCTGTGCATTAAAGTCCCCATCTCATCATTTGACTTTGCCAGTGTCTGCCAATCTGTGGTAAAATAAAAAGATCTCATTTTGGTTTTCATTTGCATCTCATTAATTTTTAGTGAACTTAATTTTCACATGATTATTGGCCATTACATCTCTTTTGTGTATTTCCTGCTCATAGCCTTTATTGCTTTTTTGATTGGTCTGTTTACTCCTTTTTAAATTGATGTATGTAGACTCAGAGTCTGCATATATGCTACAGATATTTTTTCTCAGTGTGTTGTTTTTCAATTCTGCTCATGAAATGAGATTGAGTATTTCAAAAATCTGAACAAGATTTCTTTTACTAAATGTCTACTGTAAATTTACTTAAAAAATGTAAAATTATCTAATATTCCCAATACATATTTGGATATTTAAATCATATGTGTAGATCACTTTTGAAAAACTGAACTCATCATGCAGATATATAGCTGGCCTTACTGAACAGTGAGATGGCCTATATATGACTCAGGTATGATACTAGCAACATGACATCACTGTGTGAGGTTGGGGTATATGCTGAGACATAGCAACAAGTATATGAAGGAATTTTTCTCAGAGCAGTTTCCCGATCTCAGATCTTAATTGTGGTAACATGCCCTTGACTCCAGTTCTTTTAATTATTAATATTGTGAAAGTACCTAATTCTCAGTATTAAATCTCTTTCCGTTTGAAATTTCTAATTCTCAGTATTGAATCTCTTTCCGTTTGAAATTTCTGGAGTGGTTTCTATTTCCTACACTGAATTCTGATACAGCTTTATCCTTCTCCCCTCTTTGCCTAGAGCCAAACTTGAGACAATACGTTTAAAATTTTGTGTAAAAATGGAATACCCCCATAAGTTTATCAAGAAGTCTATCCCCTAGGAGTCTGGGTTTTAACATCTACATAAGTTCATGCGATGAGGTTCTGAGATCAGATGAGGATAGGAGATGGGACTGAGACCCTGTACAAAGACAAAAGGAGCCAGAGCCCCATCATCTCCCCCCGCACCCCCACCCCTACCCCCCTGCAAATAGTAAGAGGCCCTGATGTGAGAAAGAATGAGAGGCCATTCTTTAATAAGGAGGCCAGTGTGGCTAGAGCATGAGTGAACCTGTGAGGCTGGCCTTATAGATCTTAGTAAGGAATTTGGATTTTATTCTAAGTTTAAAGGGAAGTCATTGAACAGACTCTAGAAGGCAAGAGACATAATATGGCGAATACATTTCTGGGGGCAAAGTGGATACAGACAGGTTAATTAGGAGGCTAATTTAATAATCCAGGTGAGATTTGGTGATTTAGAGTAATAGGGTGGTTGTGGTGGAGGGAAGGGAAATGGATCTCAGGCCTTGGGAGGGACTGGCAAGAGGAACGCATGGCCCTAGTCATGCAGAAATGGAATACTGGGTGGGATCAAAGGACTACAAGTACAGAGGGTCAGGTACTGGAACTGGGAAACCAGGTCAGGGCGAGGGTTCAGACACTGGCAGAGCCCTGGTTACTGGTGTCAATAAAATGGAATTAGACACGAAGTAATGTCATAAGAAAGTTCTGAGCTATTGTTGTGGAAGAGGGGTGTTTAATTGGATCTCACATGAGGTGTCATGGCTCTGTTCAAAACAGAATCTTTAGCTCAGATTTCAAGAAGGCAGATTCCATCTTAGGCAAAACAACACCTATACCAAGTAATAAATAAAAACAAATACCACTGATCTTAAAAAGAGAAGATAGTTATCAAAGAGAATACAGAGTCATACAGTGCTCATTGCAGAAAGAGCACTGCAACAGTTATTTAGCCACAGGCAGCATTTTTCAAAGCATTTGGGAGTGAAATAAAACCTTCTGTAGAAATCAACTGATACTTAATGTTTACATACTAGACTTTGGGCAAGCGCAAAGACAAATATAGAAAGTAATGAAGGCATGAAAGCAAAAACTAGACATCCTAGGTCAAGATTGAATTGGTTAGTAAGAGTAACATGACCAGGGAATTCAGACTAGATTGCTCAGAGGCTGCTCTTAGATACTCAGGGGAATTCTCATGCTGACATCAGAGTTCATTATCTTTTAGTTTGTTATGTAACGTAATATGGAAAACTTGATTTCATTATCAGTACTCAAGATGAATTGAGTCCTTCTCAGTAAATCCTTGCTATCCTAGAGTAAAATCCAACCGTTACTATGGGCTACCAGCCTAGTAATGATTTCACTTCTATTAACCCTCCCACCTTTCTCTCCTGCCGCGTTCCCACATCCACTCTACTCCAGCCCCATTAGTTTCAGCTATTCCCTGAACATGACACGCTGCTGACACCTCCAAATCATTGTATTTATCGTTCCTCCTACTCCCCTCCCTGGACATTAATTCCTCAGTGTGCTTTATTTTTCTTCAAAGACTTGTAACTTTGCAAAGACTTAATCTTGTGAATTATTGTAGCTCTGGGGTTTAGACCAGTACCTGGTACCTGATAGGTGCTCAACTAAGCTTGTTCCTCTGGCATTCTCAGAAATTTTATAATTAACACCTGTAATAAATCCCTTTTTGCTTACACTAGCTAGAGTGTGAATTCTGTTGTTGAATCCTGACCAGTTCAGAATATGATACCAGAAGTGGATATGGGAAACAAACTCAGGCCTCGGGAGTCTAGGATTGGCTCTCTGACTTATTATAGGTCAGTCTGAAGGCAGGGGGATTGAATTACTATTAGTGGCTGGAATACTAGTAAATGGGCACCCAGTGATTAAACAATTATTTAAATGATCACCTATGGTAATCTGGAATAAAGTGCCTATTCAGGGCAAGGCTTTGTTGAACTGAATGAGACTGAACAATATGGGAACATATGGGAAAGGGGTAAAATGGGCTGGCCATTTCCCACCTCACTGGAAAAATTAAAGAAGAAAAGGACAGGTTTAGGGCTTTTATGTCTTGGTCCAAGGCAGTTAGGAAACTAGGAGTTCTAAAGGTTGCTTTAAAAGAACCCCTTAGTTCTTGTATCTGTTGGACTCACTCCACAGACCCACTGGGACAACCATAAGATGACTGAAAAATCAGACACAGAATAATCCTACATTTTGCTAAATGACAGCATAGATTGAATTTATGTGGGGTTAATTTCTCAGTTAATTAACTGAACAAGAGATATCCTTCAAAAATTGAAATGTGACACTTGGGAGTATTCATACAAGTAAGAACGCCCACTAAACATTCCTTCTCGTGAGAAGTAGCCCCTAAGCTTGTGTAATGCGTCTGTTTTTGCCTTGTTGAGGACCCTCTCCTCCCCACAAGGATCTCACTTGAAGTAGTTGTGGTGCATGGAAATATCAGTTCTTCTCAAGGCTCCTTTCCCATCACCCCTCAATTACACTGAACGTTCTATTATGTAACCTCATTTTTTCACATACCATTCCATGACTATTTCCCCAGGAATATTAACTATTCTCCTACAGTTTGCTTTTATGGGCTGGATGCCTACTGTTCCATTGTATGGATATACCAAAGTGCATTTAACCAAATCTTTACTGTTGGAAAATTCGGACAGTCCCAATGTTTCATGTTGTGAATAATGACAGGTTGAACATTCTTATGCATAACTTTTTGCACCTATCTGATTCTTAATATAAATTCCTCTAAAGGGAATATCTTGGTCAAAGGATGAAAACAGTTTAAAAGATTTTCATACACAGTGCCAAATTTCCCTCTAATTATAACATGTGTGACAATTAAGTTCATGAACTTGTTGCAACAATGTTGCTATTTTTTTTTTTAAGGTGAGCCATCCTGCCACCTGTTGGCAGCTCAGTGGCAGCTCGGGTTGGGAATTGAACTGGCGATTCAATTGCTCAAAGCTCGCACTCTTGAGCGTGCTCTTAACCAACTGAGCCACTCAGCTGGCCCGTTGCTATCAGAGGGATTATTCATTATGAATTTGTACCAACTGGACAAACAGATAACCAAGTTTATTATTTGGAAGTGCTGAAAAGGCTGCGTGAAAAAGACCACCTGAACTTTTTGCCAACATTTCATGGCTCTTGCATCATGACAGTGCACCAGCTAACATGGCACTGTCTGTGAGGGAATTTTTAGCCAGTAAATAACTATTGGAACACCCTCTCTACTCACCTGGTCTGGCCCCCAATGACTTCTTTACTGAAGATAAAAGAAAGAAAGACATTTTTATGACATTTAGGACATCAAGGGTAATGTGACGACAGCTTTGATGGCCATTCCAGAAAAAGAGTTCCAAAACTGCTTTGAAGGGTGGACTAGGCGCTGGCGTCAGTGCATAGCTTCCCAACGGGGGGTATTTCAAAGGTGACTGTAGTGATATTCAGCAATGAGGTATGTAGCAGTTTTTCTAGGATGAGTTCGCGGACTTGTCTTACCTTGCATATACACTCTCTCCTCCTATGAACGAGAATGCCTTATTCCATGACTTTAATAAAGAGTATATTGATTTTTGAAAAACCTTTGCCTATTTAATAGGTGAGAAATGATGCCTTAAACATTTTGAATTTCTTTGATTAAAAGTGAGGATAAACATGTTTACATAGGTATATTGGTTGTTTTGCCCCTCACTTTTTATGATTTGCTTTTTTCATATCCACTGGATGTAAGTTCCATAAGATTAGGCAACTTTTTTTTGTATGTCTGTTCACTGTTGTATCCTTAGCACCTAGCCTGGCACAACAGTAGGAGTTCACTAACTTTTTTCTGAATGAATATATTTTCTAACTGGATGTTATTCTTTTTAAAAATTTGATTTGCAAAATCTGCATATGTAGATATGAAATTATATGAATTCACAATATGGCAAATAATTTACCCAATCTGCCATTTCTGTTTTAGTTTTGTTTACGGTATTTTTTGTCAAAGGAAATCTCTGAAACTAATGATTTAATATTTGGCAGTTAAAGTTCCCTTTCTTTTAAAAAAAAATTTTCTTTAGTTTTTTTCAAGTTAAAAAATCCCATTGGCAAGGCAGCCAGTCAGCTCAGTTGGTTAGAGCACAGTGCTCATAACGCCAAGGTTGCCAGTTCGATCCCCACATGGGCCACTGAGTTGCGCCCTCCACAACTAGATGGAAACAACTACCTGAATAGGAGCTGATGGGTCCGGAAAAAACACACTGCTCCCCAATTAAAAAAAAAAAAAGTTCCACTGGTATTCTGATTAGAGTTTTGTGCAATAAATAATCAGGAGGCAGTATGTTTGTTTATATTTCCATCTAGAAATATATGTTCATAAAATAAAATTTTTTATGTGCCTCAGTTAAGTTTTATAGTTGTCTTTATGTAGAGTCTAATAATACTTTTTTGTCTTTATTCCTAAGCTTTGTTGCTATTGTCGTTGATATTTCAATGAGATCCTTCTCCCCTAGATTTTCTAAAGTGCAGACTGATACAAAAGCTGTTAATTTTTGTGTGTGGAATTTGGAGTGCTATAGTCATTATACTGAATTCCATTAGTTTTAATAACTCTTTAGGCAATTCTTTTAGATTTCTATAGAATAACATGATGCAAATAATGACAATTTAATTTTGTTTCCAAAAGTTATATCTTCTATTTGTTTTTGTTATTATATTACATTGGCTAGAGCTTTCAGAACAATGTTACATTAGAACGGTGACAACTGATGTCCTTGTCTTGTTTCTTACTTTCATCGTGGTTCCTTTAGTGTTGAGAATAAAATTAGGTGTTGATTTGAAAAGGATTTGTGTGTGTGTGTGTGTGTGTGTGTGTGTGTTTATGCTAAGAAAGTATTTTAATACTAGTTTTCTAAGGTTTTTGTTTTTGTTTTTTTAATAATCAGGAAAGAATGAATTTATCAGCTGCAACCATATGTATATTTTTCAAGTTTTAGCAATCATATGTATTTTTTTCTCCTTTAACCTATTAGTGAATTACATGAATAGATTTCCTAATATTGAACTGTAGTTAATTCCTTGAATTCAGACAATCCAATATATAATTTAGCCTCAAAATGCATTGTGATTTATATCTGCAGGTTTGTCTTCCTAATTATTTTTACTCTAGGTTAATATTCATTTGTCCTGTGAGCACATCCTAACTGAAACTGGAGAGGGGTAGCCAGTAGATGCATATGGATAGAAAGGGGAACTGTGGGTCAGATTTGAAATTTGCCAGTTAATCCCACATATAATGAAATTGGGACTTGGCCATACATAGAGGTTCAGTTTCTAGATTACTTACCCATTTGGATTTCTTTCCAGCTCATTTAAAAGTGTATGATCACAGTATTCAAAAACTAAATGCATTTTCCTTTTTCTCCTGAACACCTCAATGAGGTTCACAAGGTTTGGGTGCTTTAATTGCTGCAAGGAAAATGAAATACAAAGTTTGATGATTTGTTTCTTGTAAGAGTTTCTCCCTAGATCCCTTCCAATTTTAAGAACAGAAGGCCTTGTTTATCATTCTCTATGCATATCTTGTGGAGAATTTTATCACGGTTACTTACAAGAGAAACTACTCTTAGTAAGAATCATGGGATCTTAACGTTGGAAGAAAACTTTAAGAATTTTTCTAATGTACCCATAATAGATGGTAACTAAACTGCTTGAATCTCTCTGGAGATGTCAAATAAAATACACAACTTAAAACACAAGCACTGAAACCAAAATTACTTCATGCATTTTGTGGAAATTTAAAATATACAAGCCATAAAATAACCTGAATAAAAAAACTGAGGAAGTGGAATTATTGAGTAAAGGACTACAAAAATCACCAGTACCCATTTAGCTAACATATTGCCATGGATTTAATGTAAATGTCAGCTGGATGTAAACCCAGTCTGGATTTTAGGGTTGCCTCTCAGAAATGCTAGATCCCAGCCTTAAATCTGATTAAACCGCCTATTCTAGGAGTCCCTACAGTTAGTCTGTTTTTAACTTGTCATTTTTTAGCTTTGCTCTTCGATTTTGTTGTTCTCTCTTTATGCTTAGATGTTTTATGTGTTAAAGTCTACTCCCAAGCTGGAGCATTTCACAAGGCAGCTTCTATGTAACGTTGTAAACCAAAGGAGAAATCCTGATAAGAGGATCCTTCACTAGAGCAACTACGTATCATCCAGTCAGGGTAATGAGTAGAAGCCAGGTCTGTCCCAGGCAAACTGGCATATATGGTCACCCTGCATACAGCTAGGGTGCCTGTATAATTCAGCGTATAAACCAGACCACTTTTGAAAGAGTATACTAACCACGCCAACTCTGGGAAA